ATACCAGAGTTTAATTAGAGCTGACTACAAGTGCCAGGAACTTTGCTACATATCACACAATTTGATTTTCTTACTTAATTTGTATAACAATCAATGAGGAAGCTTTATCTGCATTTTGGAAATAAAGAAAACAAGGTTAAACAACTTTCCTAAGAACCCTGAGCCAGGAGTTGAAGGAAATTCAAAACCTGGTCTGCCTGGCTTCTGGGTGTTCATTTAAGCATTCTGCTCTGTCATGGATGTACTTGGTTCTTACCACCTTTTCGCTATCTTGTTGCCTTGAGAAGCTGCAGCTTACTGTGCCCATGCCTCCTATCCTATCAGCTGCAACAATATTTCCTGTTACACCACAGTCCATCATGACACTGGGTTTTAAGCTTTTCTTTGCTTAAAGGGAAACCTCTAGCGTTAGATACAGCCAAGCAAGTAGTTCTGCCCTGCTGATATTGGTTTTGAGGTTTATGGGGATTGTATTCTCTATGATTATGTAACAAAACATTTTGGGGGTATGTATATTTGTGCACTTGTATATATACCTAAAACTTTTTTAAAAAATCCAATTCCACTGATGATAAGCACAGAGTACATACACAGGAACAACCTATTGTATGATCAAAAATCATATTTTGCCAAAAATAAAAAAATAAAGAACATAATTTAAAAGGGGGGGAACTTTACCAAAGATATATAGATGGCAAATAAACACATGAAAAGATGCTCAAAAAGGGAAATGCAAATTAAAACTACAATGAGATTTCACCTCATATTTATTAGAATGTCCAAAATTATAAAGATTGACTGTGCCAATTGTCAATAAAGGTATGGGGATATAGAAACTCTCATATACTGTTGGTGGGAAAGTAAAATGGTACAACCACTTTGGAGAACAACTTGACAGTTACTTAAAAAGCCAGACATACACATGTACTCTACTTGCAGCTGTATGTCCAAGAGAAATGAAAGCATATGTCCATACCAGACTCATACATGATTGTTCGTCATAGCTTTATTTGTAATAGCCCAAACCAGGAAGTGACCCTAATATCCAACAAAAGGTCAGTAGAGAAACCAATTGTGTGTATTCATACAATAAAATATTAAGAAATAAAGTGAACCATTGTTATCTGCAATATGGATGAATCTCAAAATAACTATACTAAGTGGAAAAAGCCAGATATTAAAGAGTACATACTAGTTAATTCTACTCATATAAAATTCTAAAAATTATGCACTAATCTATGGTGACAGAAAACAGATGAGTGGATGCCTGAGGATGGGGAGGAGGACCAAGAGGAATGTGTGGAAAAAATTACAAAGGAAAGAGGAAAGTTTTGAGAAACATGCATTGGTTCATTTATCTGGATTCTGGCAATGGTTTCACAGGGAAAGAGGTATGTCAAAACTTGCCACAGCATACACTTTAAATATATGCAATTTATTGCATGTCAGTTACACTTTGCAAGTAGGAGGCTATGTATCTGGGGTTTGGCAAACCCTAGTGCTTTGCAGTGTATCGGCCCTTGACTCTCTTTGCCAAGATCCCTGCTATGTTCTTGGGGAGCTGGTCCAGGAGAAGTCTGCAGGATTTAAAGCACCATCTCTAATGTCTAAGTGAGGTGAGCAGCATCTGAGAGTAAAATCTGTATTACCCCAAGATGCTTTAGGAATGTTATGTTTAGGTTAACTGAGATTTATCATTGTTTGAATATTAAGCAGACATGTTCCTAAGATAAAAATCTTCAGCTTGACAATCTCCCTAAAGTCTTAAGGCCAGGTTCCTGCCTTCTAAAGACCTGTCCCTGTAAAATCCCAATGACATTTTTCATAGAACTAGAAAAAGCAATCATGAAATTCATTTGGAAAAATAAGGGATGAAGAATAGCCAAAGCAATCTTAAGCAAAAAGAGTGAAGCAGGAGGCATCACAACACCAGACCTTAAACTATACTACAGAGCCATAGTATGGCATAATATGGCATGGTATTGGCACCTAAACAGACATGTAGACTAATGGTACAGAATAGAAGATTCAGAGACAAATTCACATAAATACAATTATCTTAAACTAGACAAAGTCTCCATAAACACTCATTGGAGAAAAGATAGCCTCTTCAACAAATGGTGCTGGGAAAACTGGAAGTCCATTATATAGCAAAATGAAATTAAACCCCTATCTCTCACCATGCACAAAACTCAACTCAAATTGGATCAAAGACTTAAGCACTAGAACAGAAACCCTGCACCTAACAGAAGAAAAAGGAGGCCCAAATCTTCACTATGTTGGCTTAGGATCTGACTTCCTTAACAAGACTCCTAAAGCTCAAGAAGTAAAATCAAGAATCAATAAATGGAACAGCAAAGGAAACAGTCAAGAACACAGAGAGCCCGTGTAATGGGAGAAAATCTTTACCACAGGCACCTCAGATAGAGCATTAATCTCCAGGATATAAAAAGAGCTCAAAAACCCAACGCCAAAAACCAAAACCAAAACCAAAAAAAAAAAAAAAAAAACACCCAAGTAACCCAATCAATGAGTGGGCGAAGGAACTGAACAGATACTTCAAGGAAGAAGAAATACAATTGGTCGACAAATATATGAAAAAAACAAAGTCAACATTTCCAGCAATTAGAGAAATGCAAATCAAAACCACTCTAAGATTTCATCTTGCTCCAGTCAGAATGTCAATTATCAAGAATACAAGCAACAATAAATGTTGGTGAGGATGTGGGGGAAAAGGGGAAAAGGTACACTCATGTATTTCTGGTGGCACTGTAAATTGGTGCAATAACTATGGAAAGTGGTATGGAGATTATTCAGGAAACTTGGAATGGAACCACCATTTGACCCAGCTCTCTTCCTCCTTGGCTTATACCCAAAGGACTTAAAATCAACATGCTATAGTGAAACAGCCACATCAATGTTTATAGCATCTCAATTCACAATAGCTAAAATATGGAACCAATCTAGATGCCCTTCAACAGAGAAATGTATAAAGAAAATGTAGTATATATATACACAACTGAGTATACTACTCAGCCTTAAAGAAGAATGAAATTATGGCAATTGCAGGTAAATGGATGGAGCTGGAGAATATAATGCTAAGTAAAATAAGCCAATCCCAAAGAACCAAAGGCCGAATGTTTTCTCTGATATGTGAATGCTAATTCACAATAAAGGGGTGGGGCTAGGAAAGAATAGAGGTACTTTGGACTAGGCAAAGGGGAGTGAAGGGAGGGAAAGAGGTGTGGAGGTGGAAAAGACAGTAGAGTGAATGGAACATTATTATCCTATGTTTATATATGATTACACGACCTGTGTGATTTTATATCATGTACAATCAGAAGAATGAGAAGCTACACTCCATTTATGTATGATGTGTCAAAATGCATTCTATTGTCACATATAAATAGTTAAAACAATAGCGAAGAAGACATTCACTCTTTGTCAGTGTTTCTCCAAAGTTGTTGTTTTCTTCTTGATTTTACCTATGACATTTTGATACATTAAATTTTGATACATTTTTGAGTCTGAAAAAAAAAGAGCCATATGAAGCTGTCTGAGATTCTCTTTGTTGACTGAGGAGCTTGCTATCTGGGAGACGATGTTTCTAATGGTATAGGGAGAACAGAGGAAATGAGAGAATGTGGGAGCAAGTGGGCTGCCTCAGGGCAAAGTCAAGACACCAAGAGGAAGTTGTTTGCATCCTCAAGTCTCTCATGTTGGCCTGCATTGTTGTGGCTTGCCTCTTTATTTCAAAATCAGAATATGGAAATAAATTCCTATTACTTTTTAGAGTTCTGATTAGTTGGGTTTTGTTTAGTCTGAAGTTTTTTATAATTGGAGAAGTCCCCTCTGAATGACACAGGAAATAGACTCTGTGAGGTATGTAAATCCAAGCAGTTGAACAAGTTTGCCAAGAAAGGCTAGAATGATGTGCCGCTGGTGTGGGAACTGGTGAGCTCACATAAAGATGAAGTTGTCTATAGTTCCTCGGAACAAGGTATCTCTAACAGAAGACCAATTCCCTGAAATGAATAAGTCTAATGATTCTGGATTTTTCTACCCCTATTATGGAAGGAAGTTCCTAGCTCATATAAGCAAATCAGTTGAATCTCTCTGAGCCTTGCACACACAACTATAATATAAAGATACTGACACCTACCTTGCACCAGTAACCTGAGATTAAATGAAATAATATAAGGAAGATGACAGACAATAGCATGGATGTTCAATGTATGGTCGTTCAACAAGGTAATAAAGTAAGATTATTTTTGTCTCTGATCTGCTGAAGCTCTCAAAAGGACCAGAACCAAAAGTAGCTGTCAAGTACACCCACATTAAAGCAATGTGAGACATGCTAAGGGGTGGCCAAAAACGAGTTCTGAGGTTTCTAGCTCTTCCCCCATCTGAAAGATCTAAAAAGGCTGAAGAACTCAAAAGACCAGTAGAAAATTAGGGGGAAATTCTTTGGGTAAAACAATTGAAGTGTAGTAGACTTTTCCTTTCCCCTCCAAGGGCATGATGTTGGGGGTGCTTTCTTTTATCCCACGTAGACCAGAAGAGGCTCTAAGAAGCTTTTAACTTGTGTCTCTAGAATCTGTGTAGCCCAGAGACTGGTGGCATGTCATGACCACCCTAAAAACGGAGGTTGTGGCTGACAGGTGTCCTGGAAGCAGAGGCAAGGAGAGTTGGCTATTCTGGAATCAGCCTGTGTGCCTACATTGTCAGGGCAAAGGATGCAGGAGTGAGTTTGGCAGCGTGGGCCACAAAGAAGTCTACCTGAACAGCAGGAGGATGATCTCAACAAAGGGGATGACCAGGGATCCTCAGAGATTGAAGGATAAACCTCTAGTAAGGAAAACATAAAATTAAATTTATTACAAAGAAAAGAAAATGTTGGCAAACCAGCTACAGAACACATATAACCTGACTCATGGGAGCTGTATCTTAATGTTCTTGGGGTGAGAGTGAGTGAACAATGACTTTGAAGATCCATGAAAGCACTCTGAAGAGGCAGCTTTGAACATTTGCAGGCCAAGAGGAGACCAGCACTGGGTTAGGTCCCCAGCAACTGCTACTTTCCTGCTCCTTGCCACTCCTCAGCTCCCGTGGCATTTCATTTCTGAAAGCACTAAAAAGAGAAATGGAGGCATGGGCAGGACACAAGAAGGCCCTTGCCACATTAGTCACCCTGACCACCACAGGCTTCTCAGGCCTTGCAGCCTAATGCATAGAAGACAGACTTCTCAACTCTAAATGAGGCTTGGAGCACTGTGGGAAAAGTTATATTTTAATTGCTGAGGTAAGATGGGTTTTTGACTTGAAGCAACTAGGGGGCATTTTATTATCTAAAGGAGACTGGAAACTGTAATGAAATCTGCCTGAGAGTCCACGCTGGGGTGGGGAAAGGTTTAATAATAGAGAACTGATTTGAATGTGCTATGAGAAAAAAAAAAAAAACATTGAATGCTTATTCTAGCTGTCTGCTATGAGTCTGGCTTGGTCAACATAGTGGTTATAGTGGCTATTCTTAGAACAGGAGATATTACTCATGAAGGCAAATGTGGCAGCCCTGAGGGCTGTCACTGTGTATTCCCAGCTCTGTCTTCTGGGCACATGCTAGGGCTACACTTCTCAGCCCCTTGGATTTGGGTAATGTCCTGTGACCAGTTCTGGGATGAGCATTTCATTGCTGGTATAGGACTCTGGAACTCTCTTTTCTCTACCAATGACAAGACCCATCCTGTAGTCTGAGTAGTCCCATGTAGCCACTGAGCTCTCAGTTTAGTTATTCCAAATTGAGATGTGCTATAAGCATAGACATATCAAATTTCAAAGACTTGGTACAAAAACGGCATCTAAAATCCCTCACAAATGATTTTGTATTTATTACTTGTTGAAAAATTATTTTGAATATAGTGGGTTAAATAAAATATCTTATTAAAATTTATTTCCACTACTTCTTTTGACTGTTTTAAATATGGCTATTAGAAAATTTAGAGTTATATACATGGCTCTCATTTGTGGTTGGCCTTATGTTTTTATTGGACAATGTAGTTCCCAGTAGTTATTTCTTTCTTGGACTGGCGGGTTCCTAAAGTATGGATATGGAAAGTGTGGAGCAGATCCCACGGCCAATCAACAATGGATGCAGAATGTGAGCAAGAAATGAAGGTTTTCTGTTTCATGTCATTGTGATTTGGGGTTGTTTGCTACTATTGTATCACTAATACCCTCACTATCCTGATTTGTTCAGCTTGGAGGAGGAATGGCAGCAGAAGTGAACTTTCTAGCATATTCTCTGAAATCTCTATGAATGTCCTCATCTTCATGTCTGACCACTAGAAATAGAAGAATCTTCTAGGGTTTTCCTTGTTTTTCTTATTGGCTCTTTGTTTAGTAGTAATTCAGGAGGAGAATGGCAAATTCCGTATCACTCTGTGGATTTTTCTTTGATTGTAAATTTCTCAATATACAAGGAAGATAACTTCTTGGTTGTCTTATCTGCGGGTTCCAAATAAGGTAACCTAAGACCAGAAGACTCTTGTTTCAGTTTGGTCATTGGCTTCCTGTCACAGTGAGTAATCTGGTTGGATACGTAATGTATTTTTTTCTGTTAGCCTCCTTGTCTGATTAGCCTTTCAGCATTGTAAGGTTCTAAGGATGTAAGGTTAACAGCAAATGTTAACTCCATCTGGGGAGATTCTGAGTCAAGATCTTTCCATCCTAATATTATATTTGAATTGGTTCATGTTTTCTTTGAGAACATTCACAGCTTTCTCTTGACTCTTAAGCCAATAGTGTTTCAAAAGGGCAACAAACCACATTTGAAAGATATGAGGAATAGCAGCACATGACCTTCACTTTGCTGCTTGAGGCATTTGTTATAAACAGTTTTATAATTTTCAGACTCTATTTGAAAAATCTCTGGTGGGACAGTTATAGATGGGATGGTTGGGTTGTAGTCTCTAGTTTCATTTAAAGCTTGGCAACAGGAAAGTAGTACATTCTCCTATCACCATTAACCAGCTGGGTGATCTTGGACAAGTCTCTTGCTCTCTGGGCCTCTCCATTATTTATTCACACTAGGGCTTTATAAGCTCACTTCACATTGTGGCAGTTGTTTGCAGCTGGGCATTCCTGAAAGAATAACAGCGGTCACTCTTGTTGTCAAACCCAAGTAAGAGATGATAAGGTTTCAATCTCAGCCACAAAGGTGAGGCAGGTGGGAGTTAGGTTCAGTTGAAAGCTCCACAAATATTTAAAGAGGGTTCCTCAGATGTCAGCAACTGTGTTAAGATGGGAGATAAGTCAGCCTTACTCTATGCCCTCAAGGACCCCTCCTTCTTGGGGAGAGGAAAACTTCCAAGATGAAGATTACAACATCTTGTGACTGTTGAGTGCTGTGATGCATAAAAGAAGGAGAGATGGGCTGTTCAGAGAAGAATTCTTCCTAGAATTGATGGATAAATAGGATATACCAGGCAAAAGAGCAGGAGACAGATCTGAAAGCTACTTAGGAGGAATGAACAAGACAGGAAAGACACTAAGATGACTGCCAGTATATGACTTAGTGACCTGGAAGTAGTTCATTTCATTAATGAGTGTAAGAAATAAAAAAAGAATAGCTCAGTTGATGGAAGGAATGATGCATTTAGATAGGGAAATACTGAATTTAAAGTTCCAGTTGGGAATCGAGGAGTAAATACCTAATTACTATTAGGCAGCTAGGGATCTACAAGACTTGAGCAAAGGAGAAAGACCGAAGCCAAGTTTTAAATTTGGGAGTTATGAGCATGTCTGTGGGTATTTGAAGATGTAAGATTGGATAAGAACATCCAGGGATGACAGGAAGTCAGGAAGGATCCATGTATTTATTCACTGACACATTCATTACTTACTGAGAGTCTACTATGTGGTGATTGAAGAAGGTGAGATCAACATGGTAAAGTGTACACTTCAAAGACAAACAGGCGTGTAGACTCTACTTTAAAGACACCTAATGGTTCAGAGAAAGAGATAAGTGGGCAATAACTAGATGAGATAGGAAACAAAGAACACAAAGAAAATTGCTGGAGTTGAAAACTTAGTTGGATTTCATCTACATTTAAAAAAACATTTTTTTTTTTGCCAATGAGGGAAAATAACAAAAATTTCAGTTGATTGTACCCATAACTTAATATTGTTAAATTATAATATTGTTAAAATTTATAGGAATTTCATCATATTTATTAATATAATAGTTTGATTCTCCTCTCTATTGAATAATTCTTCTATTCTACAAGTGATAAATAATTATGCTTCAAAAGAAATTGATACAATAAACTTTAATTTTGAGTTAAGTGGTATTTATGTGCCCAAATTATCCAAACATGTCCTCTAGGACTTATATATGCAGATAGAAATTAATGCCAGTGAATCATACAGATGAATACTGTAATGAGTTTATAGGTCCACCTCAAGAAAATTTAAAAATAGAAAATGGCCAGACATGGTGGCACACACCTTTAAACCTAGTGGCTTGGAGGCTGAGACAGAAGGATCACAAGTTCAAAGCCAGTATCAGAAGCTTAGTGAGGCCTAAGCAATTTAGTGAGACTCTGTCTCAAAATAAAAAACAAAAAGGTCTGAGGATGTGGGTACGTGGTTGAGTGTCCCTGGGTTCAATCCCTGGTACTAAAAACAAAAACAAACAAACAAACAAAAGACTTAAGGAAGAGAGTCTAGAGAACTGAACTGGCTTGGGATTTTATTTATGCTAAGTAAATAACTAAAGATTTTGAGTTTTGCCCTTTCCTCTTGTAGGCAATGGAGAGCCACTTGTCAAAGGGAACCAGGTAGCTATCTTGGAGGAAGCTGGCTGAAGAGATGGGAAGATCAACTAGGGGACCATTGTGGTTCATCTGTATGGGAGGTAATACAAATGTCAACGGTAGAAATAAAGGTGAACAGTGAACTGTTTCATATGAAGAATCTACAGATTAAATAAGATGGTGACTGAATAAGATGGTGAGAGTTAAGAAGTACTCTTGAACCATTGAGACAAGCAGTTCCTTAACAGAAAAAGCAAATCGGAATGAGATTGGGTTTGGGATATAAGTTTGAAAATAAGAAGAGAGTGAGGACGCAGGATAGGCTTAGACTCATGAACAAGGAAGTAAGAGCTGAAGTCCTAGGAGATGTGTTCATCAAAAGAGAATACATAGAACTAAAAATCTGGTACAGCTCTCTGTCAGGACAATTGGGAGGACCCATAGATGGAAATCAGGATCAGGGAGAGGAGCCAGCAAAGGGTTGGTTGGTAGAAATATAATCAGGAGAAGTGTCTCAGAACCTGGGAAGAAGAGAGATTCTGCAAGAAAAGGGAAATGGTCAACAGTGTCAAATGCATAGAAATGAAGGAGGCTGAGACTTCAAAATGCTGTTGGGTTTGGTCGTGAAAGCATCATGGTGATCTTCAAGGCTTCAATTAAAGAAGATGGTAAGGGGAGAAGTCAGTGCACAGAAAGTGAGGAAGGATGGGTAGGGAAGCAGAGGTTGTAGACTATTCATTCTCCATATTTGTCATAGTGAATTATAGCATGAAGAATTGACTTGAGGCTTTCAGGAATTGTAGGGTAACTCATTCATTTATTTGCTCAGTAGGCCCAGATTTATTAGAACCCACTGGTTACCTTTTCACTGCTTGGTAAATAAGGTAAGCAAGATCCCCACTACTATGAACCTTGCAATCTAATATAGGAGAGATGGTTCTTAAACAGTGAAATAATCTTAGATATTAAAAATGCTATGGTGAAAGTGAAACAAGGCATGAGATAAGCACATTCTAGATCCTGAGGCAAGACTGAGCACTGAATGTTCCAAGAAGAAAAGAAGATAAGTGTGTCTAGTGCCTGGTAAAATGGGGAGAAAATGATGGGAGATATCAGAGAGGCTCAGGAGTGGGGTTTTATTCTAAGTGCAAGAGGGACCATAGGAGGGTTTTAAACAAAGAAGTCACATGATCAAATTCTCTTTGACTGCTTTGTGAAAAATGGAAGGCAAGAGTTGAAGCTGGAAATACAATGGGAAACTTCTAAAGAACGCATTCAAGAAATAATGTGTATGGTAAGAAGGGGGTCAATTTTGGGATATATTGGGATAGAATCCTCAATGGGATGAGCTAAATGATGTGGGAATGAGTCATAAGGCAAAAGACAAATGAATGTTGTCCTAGGTTTTGTTCCAAAGTGACTGGATAAATAGTGGAACTATTCACTGAGGTAGAAGACTGGGAAAGGTGCAGATGTGGGCTGTGATAGGAATAGGAGCCAGAGGTTTTGCTTTGCTTATCTATGACATGCTTAGTAGAGGCAGAGTAGAGGAGTGGTGAAAACCAAGTGAAAGATGCTTCTTCTAGTGGAGAACTGAACATTTATAGATTTTAGATTAATGGCAGGACTATGCTGAAGAGAAGATAAGAGAAAATGAGAAGTGCTTGGGAAGAGGTGTAGAGGAATTGAATCAATGGCCCAGGCAGAGAGCTGACCATGGAGAGCAGCAGGGACACACTGATTTGAAAAAGGAAATAAAGACAGGTATAAAAATAGAGTTCTTTAGAAGTCAAGAGGAAGAAAGAGGATAGATATCCTCTGATATCTCCCCAAGAGATGAGGTCATCTGCTTAGGATGATTGGGGTGAGAGGAATTGTTTGGTGCTTGAGGAGAAAGGAATTTTGGAACAGACATTGTGGGAACTCCGTTGAGAGTAGAGAATAATGATCTCTATGCAGTACAAAGAGTAAGAAAAGCCCTTGATCTCTATGTTAGTCTGTTTGTTGTTCATAAATAAAATACTTGAGGAAGGCTACTTTGGAAGGAAAGAAGATTATTTAGCTCAAAGTTCTGGAGATTTAAGGGAATAGTACTAGTTCTGTTGAGGACCTCATGGCAGATCACCATGGCAAGATGAGTTTGAGAGGGAGGATCATGTGGCTAGGCAGGAAGCAAGAGAGATAAGGAAGCAAGAGAGATATTCAGGGGTCATGCTTATGATTTTATAATAGCTGGCTCTCTCAAGAGCTCTGGGGTCCCACAAGAACTACTTTAATCGTTTCTGAGAGCAGCACATCCAATGACTAAGGCCCCACCTCTTAAATGTTTCATACCATCTCCCAGAACCTTTGAGTACAATATCTAAACCACAGCAACCTCCTTCAGAAGTCCTTAGTGAAGACAAGAGTAAGGAATTCATTGGGAATGACATCAGCGCCCAGGTGAATGTGAAGTCCCTAGAAGCAGGTTAAGAGTGTGTTGGAAGATTAGGTTAAGGGTATGTGCAACATCCAGGCAGGGAGTCTGGAGGAGCTAGAAGGGCCTCAGCATATTGAATGGGGCTTAGGGGTGATGTTCCTAGGGAAGGCAGAATGCTAGGTGTGTTTGCTACTGTGTAACGGTATAGAAGTGCTGCTAAAATTGTCATCCACAAACCAGCAGCAGTAGCTGCTTCCCTGGGAGTCTGTTGGAAATGCAGAAGCAGGCTGGGGATATAACTTGGTGGTAGAGTGCTTGCCTAGTGGGCACTATGCCCTGGATTCAATCAATAGGACCTGGGTGGCAGGTGGGGGAGAAAAGAAATGTAGAGGCTGGGGTTCCCACCCAAATCTCAGTCAGACTGTGCATTTCAATCAGATGCCCTGGTAATGTGCTATTTTGTGATATGCTGCTGTAGGGATTGAGGCTTTCAAAGTTTAAGTCCTTTTTGAAATAAGAACTGTATAGTTCTGAAGAACAGATCTTGTGGAAATATTTGACACATTTTACTTTCTAGTGTATCTTCATTTTTTCTGATTAAAAAAATATCACTGACAGTGTTTTAAAAGTGGAAGATAAAGACATGTATGAAGAAGAGACTAATTAACGTTTCACCACATTCTTAGGGTTTGCTACTAGAAGAACAGAACCATGATTGTGAGAGTCCTCCAAAGTTTAAACTCTACCAGGACATTGTCCCTGAAAAGCAATTTAGCCATAGAGTAACTCTTTCCTGCAGCCAGTTCCTTAACATATCTTCTGCTTATCAGCAAAATGGGTATTTAATAATAGTGCTTAGGGTTAACAAAAGGATGACATTAAAATTTATGTAAATAACTTAAGAAACTTCCTGGCACATAATGAATGGTCAAAAATTACTATGGTTATATATTAGGATTGTATCAAGGTAAGGAAGCTTTAAGCAAGGCAAACTTTTAATACAATATAACAGCTGTCCCTGCTTGTAGGTCTTTGGGCCACTTCAGGTATAGACTATAGACTTGAAGACTCTCACCAGCCAGGAGAGTTTAGGGGAAGAACACTGAAGTACTGCAGGGACAAGATACAGCCCTGACTGGAAGTTGATGGTCAAGGAATGGAAGCCAAAGTCTAGGCAAAGGGGAACAAGACATGGAGACTTTGATGTGGATAATTAGAAGCAATAGGGCATAAGCCAGGTCCTGGGATGGAAGACAGTTCTCCTGGCACAAGAATAGAGTGGCCACAGTGGCAGAGATGGAGGTTATGCATTGTGCCAACAGCACTGACTACCACTTTCCAAGGCTGATCTAACTACTGCCACTTTTGAATGTCCAACCTGTCAGCAATGAAGACCAATGCTGAGCACCCAGAATGGCACCATTCTTCAAGGAAACCAATCAGCCACTTGGCAAGTTGACTATATTCCACTCTGAAAAGGCCAATGATTTCTTATCACAGGAATAGATGCTGATTTCAGGTATGGATTTCCCTTTCCTGTCCATAGAGTGCCAGCATCACTACCAATGGCTAACAGAGTGCTTACCTATAGACACAGATTCCACACAACACAGCATCCAATCACAGATACATTCCAGGCAGCGGGAGGAGATAGGAAGTAGACCTTCATTCTATGACTAGCATATCTCAATTACCTTTTCACCTTCTTGAACCTCTCCTTACTCCATCAATTACCAAGTTCTTAATAAATGTTGAAGCCATCCTTCTTTTTTCTGTCTCTACACTTTTGTGTTAAGATCTGAACCCCATAATTTCTTGCCTGAACTATTTCAAGAGCCTGTTTTTTCTGCCCCATGATTAGGCTGTAATCTACACACTTATTTAACTCTAAACTTCTCCACATGGGATGAAGAACACTTGTCTATTAAAAAAGAATCAATTCTGGATTCTCTTTTCATTTGATCCAAGTATTCAAGATTCAGTAGTTCTGCCTGCTTCCTGGGATAATGTCCAATTGTGAGGGGTATGTGTTATGCTGGTGGAACATCACAGCAGGTGGGGAGAGGTTTTGGTCTGAACAGATATTTTAAGGAAACTTTTCTATATATATCAAACAATGTCCTTACATCTTACCCTTATGTACTTTCTATTAATTAACTTTTTAAATTAATTCCAATGCTTCAGCTTTGGCTCAACTGAACCCAGAAGTCCTTTCTGCAACCAATATAATCTTTCATAAGTATTTCTAAAATGAACATTAAGAGATTATTATTATTACTATTACTATAATTTTTGAAGCTGGGTTCTGCCCATTTCTCTGCAGAGGCTAAAAGAGTATAAGTGTAAAAATTGTCTGGAATAAAAAGTACATCTGATCTATTTCGTATTACTATCTTAAATGGATTAATCACATTATCTTGGATGAAAAAAACAGCCCCCAGAGAGTAACTACTGTACAAGTAGCTACCATACAACACCATTTAGGCAAAATTTAAAATCAGACAAAATTTATGAATGTTTATTAAAATCAGAAGTGGTTACTTTTAGGGGCTGTGATATTTGACATAATAAGAAACTTGTATTTGGTCTTCACTCTTGGTTTCTGGTACAGGGCTCCTAAAACCTTGAACCTTTTGAGTGACAGGGGTAAGAGGAGTGTCCTTCATTATTCATAGTAAGCTC